AATACTATAAATATGCTTTAATTGACAAATTATGCATAAACCATAAAAACAGCACAGTGCATGTGATACGAATTGTACATTGACACTGTGTGTCCAAAAGTTTGTAGACACCTGCTCTCCCTACATTTCTTCTAAAATCAAGGGAGTTTGCCCCGCCTCTCTTTTGGAAAGGCTTTACACCAGATGTTGGAACATGGCTGTGAGGATTTGATTGCATTCAGCCAGAAGAGCATTAGAGAGGTCAGGTTTCAATGTTGGATGAAACACCCAAACACCACACAGCTCTTCCCGAAGGTGATGGGGCTCCGTCATGCCAGAGAATGCAGTTGCATCGCTCCACTACCCAGCACTGGGGGGCTTTATAAGTTGCTGTGTTATGGTATGTAGTGACTTTATGCTACGTTTACATGTTGAGGTTGAAATAAAATGCTGTTTGATGCCTCATTGTGCTACATGACCAGCGGTGGCATGCAGCCATGACAGCATTGGCATGATGACAGCATCACCAGCAAAAAAATAGATGATTATCAGAGGGGAACTTTAGCAGTTTTGTTTTGTTGGCAGCACCTGGACTTCAACAGCAAGATGTCTGTTATCCATGTCTCCCATCTGATTTATCCCACGGCTGTGGTCAACCACAAAAGCAAGGAAAATTGAGCTTTTTTTTGGGCGGGGGGGGGTTCCCCAATTTAGTTGTCTCCAATTCCACCCGCTAGGTAGGACTCCCCCAGTCACATGATACTACCAGTTCTAGGAGGGCAAAGGCCAGCACAGGCTTCCTCTGAGACTTGTGAGGCGTCACCGCATCTTTTCAAGCTGCTGCTAACGCAACGTCATTGGACAGCCGAACGCGCTCAGAGGAAAGTGCCAACTGCCAGTTCTGTTACGTCAGCTAACAGACGCCTTCCCTTACTAGCAATGCATGGAGTGATGGCGGGAGAAGTGGGGGCCATCCTACCCACCCAGAGAGCGAGGCCAGTTGTGCTCTCTTGGACTCCCGGCTACAGATGGCTGTAGCATCACCAGAGATCGAACTCAAGATCTCCTGATGATAGGGCCAACGCTTAGACGGTTGCGCCACTCGGGAGCCGGAAAATTGAACTCATGACGGAACATTCTGCTGACCGCTGTGCTGCATACTGCAGAATGTTCCATCACTACTATGGAATATCTGGTTTGCGATCAACCATCTGCTGCCAGCATGTGAACGAAGCATTAGGCTCGTGTGCAGTTGTTTCAGTGTCCCATTCTATTAGCAGTGCTTTTCTATGAAATGGGTGCACCTTACAACTGAACTCAATAATTAGAAGCGGTGTCTAGATACAATGCCAAACTTATGTATTTAAAAGCTTCAGCTGAGCATTCATCAGAACCCATGACGAAGCCGGCAGTCAATTCAAACACAAATAGAGAAAACAATGAACGGAGCCTCAGGCAGAGTTGAATTATATGAAGAAATATATCACCAAATAGGACACAATGGCTCTAGTCACTTTTGTGTGCCAGGTATTTATATATATTTGTTCTCTGCATACATAATTGATGATTTATAGGCTTCAGTGAAGCTCCCCTGCTTTAGGCAATGACATCCTGAGTGTAGTGTGTTGCATAGTCATGTACGAGTCATCTCTGTGTGAACGTATTCACTCTAGTTAGGTACCGTTATAATTTTGTAAAACATTGCTGCCCCATTGTTTACTGAAAAAGCTTTGGCATGTTATTCCAACCGTGCATTGTAATTACACGCTGCTCTGCAGTTACTGTACACATCAATATCTTTACTCTGAGCATTTGCAACCGTCCATCAGCAGCATGCGTGTCCACTTCATCTCACTCTTTTCGTTTCAGCCTCACTGATTCTCCCCCGATGAACCTGGAGGGGCTTTGATGGAGTGAAATCACCCTTGATAATGACAGAGGACACTGTCCACTCTCTGCTCCAAACACAGCCCAGTGTGGCTGGCAAACTCAGGCCACCTCTCTTTCTCTCTCTCTCTCTCCCTCTTTCTTTTTGCTTTGTCTATATCACTCTTTCCCTCTATCATCCTCTCTCATTCTCTCTTACTTTCACTATTGTTATCTCTCTCTCTCACTTTCTTTTTCTTTCACTGCAATCATTCTCTCTTCCTTTCTTCCTACCATTTTTTGTCTCTCTCTCTCTGTTTCTCTGTCGTTCTCTTCCTATCTCTACTGCTCTTGTTCTCACTTTCTTTCTTTTTTCTTTCTTTCTTTCTCTCTCTCCATCATTCTGTCTCTCTCACCCTCTCTCTAGCCTGTCCACCCTGGTCAGTCTATTTATAACTCCAGCCGGTCACACGTGGGATGCCTGGCTTGGCCGGCATGCTTTTAATGGCGAGTCCTGTTCCGGGGTGCTGCTATAGTGGGCTGTAAGGCATTTCCCCTGCGGGATAAAGATGGTTCAGAGAATGGCAGCCCGAGCTTTCCAAGAGCGCAGAGAGCACGGCTCGTTTTTCCCCAGCGGAATGCGGGACACCAGCGTGTGTCCAGGTCACCCCTGACCACATGGAGAGGGAGGAGAGGGGGATGGAGAGAGAGCTCTTTTGTAGCTAATCTTGTGAGGTTGAACACTGGAAAAATCCCATTCGACCTAATGAGAAACTGTAGCACACAAATCAGTTTTTATCAAAATATCTTTAGAGTGTGTTATTAATTTCAAATTAATTTCAAAGCTAATTTTAGCAAAGTGGCAGATTTTTCTTTCTAACCTGTCTAGTTTCAGTTAGCTCTAACATATAAAGGTTAATTCCACCATATGCAGTGAATGTCTTGGTTGCATGTATTCTGTGCTGCCTTGGGGGTCCAGGGAGGACCATTATTTTGGTCCCCTTCTTGATCTTGAGGTCTTGACTGAATTATCAACTTGTTGATTTGATGCAACATTTTTTATTACAAAATATTATAAATATTAAAATATTATAATCAAATCTTTGTTGAGATTATAGTAAATCTGTGCTGAAATAACAATCACACTGTGTGATATGATGTGATGTTGTTAGCTGTGTATTTATTCCTGTGGGTTAGTAAAATTTGAGTAGTTTCATCATGATGGCCTACTTTTAAATGCTCAACTTAAGTGCAGCGCTTCAAAAATATCAGACTGGTATTGATACCCGCCAATACTGAAGCTTTCAATATCAGAATCGGTATCAGAAAAGAAAAGAGGTGTCATACATCTGTAACTCAAGGCTGTGCATTACAACAGTTTTATAGGACTGTCACTGCAATGTACAGCCTTAAGTGGCATTTTGCTCTTATGGAACAGTGACAAAAATGTATTAACTATAATGTTCACAATAAACACTTTATACTTCATTAACACTAGGCTATGATTGCAAGGCAACATATATCATCAAAAAACAAAGCTCTTATGAACATGGTTTTTGATATATGTAGTCATGTATGTGTATGCAGTCATATATATGTATATAGAGCCCCTTATGATTTTTGATGTATGCAGTATGCATATATATGTATATAGAATATTTAACAAAAGCTGGCTCAAACAGTCAGATTTTGGAACCGTAGCTAGTGGGCAGTATAACGGTTCATCTGATATACTGGTTGAAATTCGTCCTAAGATTTTTTTATTTAATTTTTTGGCAATAGTTTAAATATGAGTATCAGTTTTATTGACCTCCCACAGTGTAGTTGCAGTACGAGGTAGTCCAATCTGTTTCCGAGGCGGCAGACATAAAAGAGTACAATGAAAGGAATGGCCTGCCTCTTGGGCTTAGCCTTTACCCTAGCATGGAAACCAGACTGCTAACAGCGCTCTAAGCTGACGCTCTGGTACTGATAGGGTGAATAACTTCTAATATTTACTTTTTATATTTGAACATCTCAGTTATTATCGTTAATATCAACAATGAACTAGTAGGGCTGGATTTATATTTAATATTTATTTAAGTCCAGCAGTATCTGTTGGCCATAGGTGCCGGCATTTGTCTTGACAAATGACTTGCGGAACTGGGACATCAAACAACAGCTAGCACCATTTTTGCCAGGTCCACGGAAGCTGCCGTAGGCGTAGGGTTAGGAAGCAATTTTAACGTAGGTTTTATCTATGTTTTGTTCAGTTTTTGCTATTTTGTGCAATAAAAATACTTCAGATTTATTTCAGTTGATAAATATGAGTTTACTTAAGCATCTTCTGCTAAAACGTATACACTGATCAGGCATAACATTATGGCCACCTCCTTGTTTCTACGCTCATTGTCCATTTTATCAGCTCCACTTACTATATAGGTGCACTTTGTAGTTCTACAGTTACAGACTGTAGTCCATCTGTTTCTCTGCATACTTTGTTAGCCCCCTTTTACCCTGTTCTTCAGTGGTCAGGACCCCCATGGACCCTTACAGAGCAGGTACTATTTGGGTGGTGGATCATTCTCAGCACTGCAGTAACACTGACGTGGTGGTGGTGTGTTAGTGTGTGTTGTGCTGGTCTGAGTGGATCAGACACAGCAGTGGTGCTGGAGTTTTGAAACACTGTGTCCACTCACTGTCCACTCTATTAGACACTCCCACCTTGTCAGTCCACCTTGTAGATGTAAAGTCAGAGACGATAGCTCATCTGCTGCTGCACTGCTGTGTCTGATCCACTCAGACCAGCGCAACACACACTAACACACCACCACCACGTCAGTGTTACTGCAGTGCTGAGAATGATCCACCACCCAAATAGCACCTGCTCTGTGAGGGTCCATGGGGGTCCTGACCACTGAAGAACAGGGTAAAAGGGGGCTAACAAAGTATTCAGAGAAACAGATGGACTACAGTCTGTAACTGTAGAACTACAAAGTGCACCTATATAGTAAGTGGAGCTGATAAAATGGACAATGAGCGTAGAAAGAAGGAGGTGGTCATAATGTTATGCCTGATCGGTGTATGTAAATTTAGATATTTTATATGTAAATACACTTTTATCATGATATGTACCAAAACACACATTCTCTAACCTTCTCTTTTCTTTCCTGAAGGTCCTATGGTGAGCTGACGAACTGTACATTCCTGGTGGCGCTGAAGATGAACTGCTTCTGGCCAAACAGGCTGGTGGATGAATTCTTCATCCGCGTCCACCGGCACTACTTCCACGACTGCTCGCTGTCAGGCCGACTGCTTCACGACCCGCCCAACCGCATCTTGGGGCCTTTCATCATAGTTCCCATACTGGTCACTTTGCTCATGACTGCCCTAGTGGTGTGGAGGAGTAAGCGCAGCGAGGGCATCGTGTAGGGCAGCCCTGTATACTGAAGTGCCCCTCATGTAACAACATCCTGAAAACACACAGTATGCTGCTACGACAGAGACTTCGGCGACTGATGTCTTGCATCTCATCGACTGGTTCAACAGCGAAGCAACTGCATACATGCCACATGCTAACAACTCTACTGATGACTGCCCAAATATACATGAGCTTTATGAAGGACTTTGCTTCATAAAAGCCTGTGTCATATACCTGTAGGGTCCTGGATGGCAGTTTTTGAAGCAGAACGTTGTCATGACGATGCCTCATTGGTGGATCAGTTGGACCGCAAGACTGACCCTGGCTCAATAAACCTCATTTACAACCAGGAAAACCACAATTCTAAAGCAAAGGGAAGACACTGTTATCCGTGTGTGATGGGCCTGCTTATTATCTGCAAGCGTCGAACTGAACAGCTCACACTCATACGTCCTTACTTTGTGCATAGTGCCAAACGCTGAAAACGTTTATTATAGTGAATATCGTCACTGTTGTATCAAAACCTCGTATCTCCAAAAAATGGTAATAGTATAGGAGTTCTTCATGAAATGTTCACACAGTATAAAGGACAGCTGGTGTAATAAAAACTGAAAAAAGGAAGCTACGAGGTTTTGATACACTGATTTTTTGTTTAACAAACATAGAATAAAGCAGTATGATGCCACAGTCACCATGCCATGTAAATGCCAGTGATGTTTAAACTTTAATGGCAATGAAAGACGAAAGTAAAACAACATAATTTGATTAAGTGTTTTAAACAAGCTTGAACTTCTTAGGTTTCACCGAAATGCAGTCAGTTACAACTTCGCCTGAACGCAAGACGGATTCCCAGGATTTTAATTGCTATTAGTCGCACTGATATGTGTTAATTGGGGAGTCTGTTTAGTCATTTGTAACTCTAATTGCATCTTCATTTGGAGAGATTGTTGTTTGTAAAGATCACTGGGCTGCCAGCTCCAGCTCCTGTCCTGTATCCGAAGGGATTCTTTCACTGATTAGGCCTTGCATTGAAAGGCTGCTTTTACTTGCGTCTATCAAAATGCTTTTCTATAAACGTGTCTCAGAAACGACTGGCTGAGCATCCTGCGTCTAGAACCTGGCAGCTTTAAAAGAAAAACGTCCAGTAGATGGTGTTTATCTGCCTGGGACTCATTATTGTAAAAATAACGCACATCTGTGATGTGAGCATCTCTGTCACTACTGTTCCCTGTGTCAGCACTTCAAAGGCCTCTGCTTCCTGGGAGATTTGTAATAAAGTCACTGGCCCTCAGCGTTTCTTTTATTCCGGACATTTACCCTCATTAGGGCACATCACCTTGAGCAGACACAAGGGAGGTATTATGAGTCACTAGAGGTTTGGGTATGAATCTTCCAGCGGGTGATTTAGCCCTGTAAACACGGTTCTTCTTCACTCAGCAAGTTTCATTCTGAACTCAAAGCTTCTTCAGACTTTAGAAACGCTGGATTTTACACTTATATTTCAATCTTTCAACATTAAGAGCCAATTTCCCAGCACCATATTAAGACTGAACCTAGACTAAAGAGGATTGGTCATGTTGAACCAACACTGGCATTGCAATTCAGCCTAAAGGCCACCGCACACCAAACACACCGCATAGCATCGCATAGCAGATAGTACAAAGATAGTACACTTCGGTGTGTTTTGGCCTTTAGACTTTATGTTTGTCTAAAATCAAGTTCTTCTACATTGTAATCATCAGTTTTATTACTAGTACGTTCTTTAAAAATGGTTCTTCAGGAGTTCCTTAACTCAGTAAAGACTCACTCAAAGAACCATTTGCATGATTAAATGGTGACATGGTTCTAGAGATTGATGGAGAATGTGTTGTACATGGTTTTATATAGAACCTTTTTGAAAAGTGTTCTGCTTTTGTTATGGTGTCAAGCTTGTAGCAATAGAAGAACAGTTTTTGGTGCTATATGGAATCTTAAGACCAATTCACCATGCAATTCACCATTTAATCAAGCAAATGGTTCATTGATTGTATAGAACCATTGTCTTTAGTAAAGAACCCTTGAAGAACCATCTTTTTAAAGAGTGTAGGATGTAGTGTATTGTTATTACATTTAACAGAACTGATGCAAAATCATGTGTGGCAAAAGTCAGAACAAGCTTTCATCTATTTAATTTCCGGTCAAAATGGTCTTAAAGTACAAGTTATTAATTTTTCTGCCTCAGAAAAAAAACTATATAATTAACAGAAAATTACAGATGCTTCAGCAACTAAATATGCATTTTTCATTATTGAGTGTGTCCACCTTTTGCCTTTATTACAGGTTCTATTCTTTTCGGGAGACTTGCTTTAAGTTTTTTGAAAATATCCCTCGCTGTAAAGGATGTTTTTCCACGCCTCCAGAGTTCAGTCTTAGAAGTTGGTTCCATTTTCTGCTGGATAAGGTCCAAGACACATTCTGCCATGTTGGGGTCTGAACTCTGGGGTGGCCAGTCCACTGTTCTGTGTTGAGTTGTCTTCTCACAGTGGAAAGATGGACAGAAACACCTGTGGATTTTTTTCAGATCTGAAACTTACATTTTCTCCTGTCTTCCAAAAATAAAAGTTTGAAGTGCTGTTTATCTGATGGGGGCAGTTTTGGTGGTCTAGCTAGAAGTTAATTAGCTCATACCAGGTCTTTGCCCAGTGCTGCAGCGGAAGAGGAGGAGCTTTTATTAGAAATTTTCAAATGTGAATTAGATGATTTTGTCTTTCAGTAACAATTTGTATGCAAGATATTTTGTGTTAGGCTTTTGTGACGCAGCAAAAAATTTCAAAGTGTTATAACGGTTGCTGAGCATGTTAATTTAAAGTTTAAGCTGACTGACGTGGTTATTATAACTGATGACCTTGGTATGACCTGAGGTGTTACATAGTAGATTGTAATTTCCATTTAGTGCAAAATATTAGTGTTTGACTTCATGCCATTGTACCTAATATCCAGGTATAGTCAGTGAAATACATAATGTATAAGACTTTTGTGCATAATTTCCAAACAGGGTGGATTCAATCAGTGCCAGAGAAGCCAGCCCTAATAGTTCATAGTTGATATCAAGAATAATACTCAAAATGTTCAATTAAGCATTCAAAAGTGCCATTGTGGTCTCAGTTGAACTCACCAGGGAAAGTATTTCAACGTTGGTTTGAATTACAGTAAACTTTCCACTCCATTCTATACCAAACTGAATTGAATCCACCAATGATGCCACTGTGTTTCCACATAAATTCAAACACTTCCACAACCTGACTTGCTAACAAAAAGACAGTGTGAGCCGTGACAGTGTACATCTCGAGATTTTAATCAGCATTTCTATGCCTTATCTGTTCAACAGCAAAACAGGATTAATTGTTATTAGTCAATCATAAATATTCATGAGGAATGATCAGGCTGAACAGGCCTAATTTCCACGCAGTATCTGGATGCATCATGTGTACCACACCAACCTCCCCCACACAGTTTTCAAATACTGAGCCTTGTTTTGGACTTGTTTATTCACATTTTCCAGATTTAGCTGCAGAACACAGCTTTGGAAACATACCCATAATGCACTTCCATCAAAAAGAAGACTAATGCACTAATCCCTAATAGCGGCAACCTCATTTGTAAAATTTAAATTAAACCAAACGTGAGTTTACAATGTTCAGAAATGTGTCTACATGCTGGCATAAAATTGGACCCTGTGAATTTTTTGCTCCAAAGATGAAAATCGAGTTAGCTTCTGATTAAATGTTATTATAGAATAATATGCACAGTTCAACCTCCGAAACAGGCAGCGATTGCATTACGTGGCTACTATGGAAAAGAGTTAAACACTGCAGTCCCACTAAATGGCTATCGGGAACATCTGGTCAAACGTTTCTCAAGAACTTGAGCCTTGGTAGCCAGTTTCACACCAAGCCTGGAATGTATGAGTGGCTACTGTTGTGTGTACTTCGACATTTATGAAAATTACAAACAAATCTTGAACATACAAACCAAAACAATGGCAAATGGCCACGTTATAAACCTCAAGTGTAGAATGTGTCGTGGTGGTAATATCCAGTATTTAGTAGTGAAACAGCAGACAAATATGTAATATAGGCTTTATGATGCACTAGAAATTGCTTCTGAAGCAACTGGTCAGTTTATCTGTTTTCCAAACTGTATATCTGTACAGTAAATTGGTGATTTATTATTGAGGTGTTGATGGGAATCAAAAGAATTGGCATGTTACAGATCCAGCGCTTAGGTTAGGATTGTGCAGGAGATTATGATATATAATATACAAGTAAAAGTGCTCTAAAAATGCTTTATTCCTTCTGGGGTAATGCTTTACTTAACCATGCTACATAACAGTGACATAACCATGCTATAAACATGTCGTGGCAGTTGTCATATATTGTCATGAGTTGTCATGACAGATTCTGCCCAATAACGTAACAGTGTCACCGTTACTGATGACCTCATCGTAATAGTCAGCATCTGAAGTATGCAAAAAACTTAAATTGCATTGGAAACAAGTGCTGTGGACTGATGAAGTGAAAAAGGAACTCTTTGGCCATAGTGACCAGCAGCATTTGATGAAAGGAACACCTTGCCAACTGTTAAGCATGGGGGTGGATCTATTATGCTTTGGGGCTGTGTGGCAGTCAGTGGCTCAGGAAACATGGGTGACATTTGAGGAGGCATTTGTCAAAACTATCTACTATGTAGAGACTGTTCTCCACAACACACATTCTGATGCGACGAGTTTCCATGCAATGCAATGTACTATCAAAAGCACTGCAGTCACCAAGTTTAGATTATGCTGCAGTCAAGAGCCTAAGTAGTAGCACAGTCTCTACTCTGCTAGCAGCTAGCGACTTCCAAAAACTCTACAAGCATACCGATGACTAGTGTGCTAAAAACAACTACCGAAGCGCGCCCAAGGGCTTGATTTGTGAAGGGGACTGTGAATTTGAGGGGAAACTGAATCGGATGCAACACCGGCAAACTGACAGTGACTGGATCAGATGCTGACTCTGCTATGGGTCACTACAAGGAAGTGTATTTTGGTGTATTGGACAAAACCGTTCACAAAGTCTGTGATCGGTTTAAGGAAAATGACGTGGAAAGCCTAATCACACTGAACATCGCTATAGATTTCCCAAAGAGGAGACAAGTACAGAGCTGTCCCTCTTCAACACTATTCCATCAGAGGAAATCGGCTTTGATCGACGATCAGCACTTTTTAAAGCGTCAGATTTGGGTCATAGCCTAGTAAACCTCAGTAACCTCCTCAAATTGCTTCTGGCCATGCCAAAGAGCAGCGCATCATGCAAAAGGAGCTTTTCCTGCTGGTGTCAAATGAAAACTTACATGAGAAACACAGAGTTAGTAGAGGCTGTCTGACATTGCAGTGCTGAATACTGAACAGGCCATTCACATGGACTTGGAAAAACAGTCGGTGCATTTCCTGCACTTCACTAAGGTAGGACATCATTTACTGTGATAAATATTGATTATATGCTAAAAAAAGGTTTTTTACTTATTATATAGTTGACTGAGATGGCTTGCCCCTCTGACATAAATCTGAAATGTCACCCACGACTGCACAGGTAGATGGACGAATGGATTCCACCAAATATCAGCAAATTGCCGAAGCAGATGTGACACAGTCAGTCGAGAAGCTGAAGCTGAAAAGACTTCCACAAAAGGATAATGATTCTAAACATACTTCAAAATCCACCATGAACTACTTCAAGAAATGCAAGATGGCCCAAGAACATTGCAGAACCAGAAGTGTTCTACAAGGAAGAGTGGGTGAAAATTCCTAAAGCAAGATTATAAAAATAGACAATAGAGGTATTACTAAGTATTGACTTAGTAGGGGGTCCAAACATTTGTACATGCCACAATTACTATTTTATTTTTTGACCATTTTTTTAAGAGAATCGAATGAAGTAACTGTGCGTTAATATTTGCTGTGGCCTGAAAGGAATCCGGTTTGACCTGCCTGGAGTAGAGCTCTTTAAAAGTTCCTCCAACTTGCACAGCTAATTTACAAAAAAGGTTCTTCAAAAAGATCATAATCATCACTCTGGCCCAAACCTGACCCTAGTACTAATCCTAATGCTGTTGAGAATCTACTTCATCTGATAATGTGAACATCTATAGACAATCTACTGGGGGCTATCCAAATAAAATGGGACCAAAGGTTCTTTAAGGAACCAAACATAGTTCTTCTGTGGCAGGGGGCTTCAGCTCACACTTGGAATCCACTTTCTGGTCCTTGAT